TTTGGGGACACAATTCAATCCATGACAACTGGTACCTAGAAAACAAAGAATTACCACAACTCGGTAACAGGAGACCAAATAATTCAATTAAAATATGGGCAAAAGATATAAACAGACACTTAACCAAAGAAGAAAGATACATGGCAAATAAACACATGAAAATACGCTCCACATCATTTGTCCTTAGGAAAATACAAATTAAAACCACAGAAACCACTACAAACCTGTTAGGAAAACTAAAAGGAAAATAGCTGACAATATCAAATGCTGTCAAGAATATGGAGCTACAGGAACTCTCATGACATTGTTTGGTGGGAATGCAAAATGGTACAGACATTTTGGGATATAGTTTTACAGTTTTCTTATAAAGTTAAACATACACTTGCCATACCATCCAGCAATTCCACTCCTAGGAAATTACCCAAGAGAAATGAGGACATATGCCCATACAAATTGTTGTTGTTAGGTGCCACTGACTTGGTTCTGACTCATAGTGACCCTATATACAACAGAACTAAACACTGCCTGGTCTTGCACCATCCTCACAATTATTGCTATGTTTGAGCCCATTGTTGAGCTGCTGTGTCAGTCCATCTTGTTAAAGGTTTTCCTCTTTTTTGCTGACTTTCTGCTTTACGAAGCATGATGTCATTCTTCAGGGACTGGTCTCTCCTGATAACATGCCCAAAGTATGTGAGACAAAGTCTTGACATCCTCACTTCTAAGATGCATTCTGGCTGCACTTCTTCCAAGACAGTTTTGTTCATTCTTCTGGAAGTCCATGGTATATTCAATATTCTTCAACAACACCGTAATTCAAAGGCATCAATTCTTCAGTCTTCCTTATTCATTATCCAGCTTTGACATGCGTATGAGGTGATTTAAAATGCCATGGCTTGAGTTAGGTGCATGTTAGTCCTCAAAATGACATCTTTGCTTTTTACATTTGAAAGAGGTCTGTCTTAGTTATCTAGTGCTGCTATAACAGAAAAACCACAAGTGGATGGCTTTAACAAAGAGAAAATTATTCTCTCACAGTCTAGGAGGCTAGAAGTCCAAATTCAGTGTGCCACCTCCAGGGGAAGGCTTTCTCTCTGTTGGCTCTGGGGGAGGTTCCTTGTCATCAATCTTACCCTGGTCTAGGAGCTTCTCAGTCCAGGGACCCCGTGTTCAAAGAACATGCTCCACTCCTGGCCCTTCATTTCTGGTGGCATGAGGTCCCACTAGTCTCTGCTCAATTCTCTCTTTTATATCTCAAAAGAGATTGACTCAAGATACAACCTAATCCTGTAGATCGTGTCCTGCCTCATTAACATTAACTGCCTCTAATCCTGCCTCCCTCCACGCGTCTGTCAGTTTGTCGTACTGTGGGGGCTAGTGTGTTGCTGTGATGCTGAGAGCTATGTCACCGGTATTCAGATACCAGCAGGGTCTCGCATGACAGACAGGTTTCAGCTGAGCTTCCAGACTAAGACAGACTAGGAAGAAGGACCCAGCGGTGTGCTTCTTAAAACAATTAGCCAGTGAAAACCTTATGAGTAGCAGCAGAACATTGTCTGAAATAGTGCCAGAAGATGAGCCCCTCAGGTTGGAAGGCACTCGAAATAAGACTGGGGAAGAGCTGCCTTGTCAAAGAGTCTACCTTAATGATGCAGATGGTGTCCAGCTTTCGTGACCTTCATTTGCTGATGTGGCATGACTCAAAATGAGAAGAAACAGCTGCAAACATCCATTAATAATCAGAATGTGGAAAGTACGAAGTATGAATCCAGGAAAATTGGAAATCGTCCAAAATGAAATGGAATGCATGAACATTGCATCAATGTGTCAGTGGCATAGCTTCCAGCATCACAGCAACATGTAAGCCACCACAGTATGACAAACTGACAGACTAGTGGTGGTCCAAAATGCATAGATCAGGCAAAGGGATGAGTGAAGCAAATACTTATAGCAGCCCCAAACTGGAAACAACCTTAAATATGTTTCAGCTGGTGAGTGGATAAACAAAATGTGGTGTATCCAGACAATGGAGTACTACTCAGCAATAAAAAGAATGAACTACACTGATACATGCAACAACTTGGATGAATCTCCAAGTACGATGCTAAGTGAAAGAAGCCAGACTCTAAAAGCTATCTACTATATGATTACATTAAATTAATATTCAATGAAAGGCAAAACTGTGAGAACAGAAAACAGATTACTGGTTGCCAGGGTCTGGAGCGGGGAGGGTATTGACTATAGAACAGCACAGGGAACTTTTTTTTTTTTTAAAATTGTGCTTTAAGTGAAAGTTTACACTTCAAGTTAGTCTCTCATACAAAAATTTGCACGTACATTGTTATGTGACCCTAACTTCTCTCCCTATACTGTGACAGCACACTCCTCCTTTCCACCCCTGATTTCCCGTGTCCATTCAGCCAGCTCCTGACCCTGTCTGCCTTCTCATGTCACCTCCGGACAGAAGCTGCCCATCTAGTCTCGTGTATCTACTTGAGCTAAGAATCACACTCTTCACCAGTATCATTTTAGGTCCTATAGTCCAGTCTGATCTTTGTCTGAAGAGTTGGCCTTGGGAATGGTTTTAGTTTTGGGCTAACAGAGAGTCTGGGGGACAAGCGAAATTTTTGGGATGATGGAAATATTCTATCTTTATAGAATACAAATTGCTGGTGACTACACAACTATATGTTTGTCAAAATTCATAAAACTGTACTCTTAAAAAGGATGAATTTTACTGTATATGCACTACATCTCAAGAAACCTGACTTTTAACAAATGGCAGGAAGAAAGCATCATGCCATAAATAGGGCTTAAATAATTGACAAACCATTCGGGGAAAAATAGCTTTTGATTCTTCACATCATTTTATCAGATAAATTCCAGATGGATTAGAGATATGAATGAAAAAATAAAACTATTAAAAAAAACATAAAAATATGCAGAAAATATAGGTGATAAATACACAGGGGATGAAAGCATAAAGCCAAACAAGGAGGTGATGGCCATAATTGTTGGGATAATGACTACCAACGGGTAAGAGGAGTGTGTGCTTGAGAAAAAACTCACCGGAGAAATCTTGGTTGCTGTCAATCTCTGTCTCTCTCGGTCTGTCTCTCTCTCTGTCTCTCTAATTTGGGTGGTGATTACACGGGCATTTGTTTTATGAGTATTCATCACACTGTTCATTTACGTTTTATGCCCTTTGTATATATGCCAAATTTTACACTAGGAAAAAAAAGTTAAAATTGGTGTCCGGATGTAATTTCCTAGAATTTAGGCATAGAGATAAATCCATTGGTGAAGGTTAGTTTCTCTCATTTCCTAGTTTGAATTCTCTATGCCCAGTCCAATGCTCTACGAGCCAAAGTAGCCACATGGTTTAGCATAGCTTAACAGACTCTGAGCCTTTATTAAACCGAGATCAGTTTAAAAGATCCTGGGTTGCAGATATGAGATGTTTAATTAAAAATATACCAATAGGGTGAAATCTGTCTGACCTTGGGATAGGGAAAGCCTTTTTAAGCATCAGAGCAAAGGCAGAAATCACGAAAGAAAAGATCGATATATTTGAGTACTCCCAAATTAAAAACTGCACACAAATTTTAAAACATCAAAAGCAAAATTGAAAGACAATATACAACTGGGGAAAATGTTTTCAAAACATTGAGCAGATAAGGGGTTAATCTTAAAATACAAAGAGCCCTTAAAATTAATAAGATCAATATCCCAGTAGTCAAAACAGGTAAGTGACATGGATAGGTAATTCACAAAGCAAGAAATCTTTAATATTAATAAGCATGAAAAAACAGTCATTTTCTCTAGAGATCAAATAGGAGCCCTGGTTGCACAGTGGTTAGGTACTCTGCTGCTAACCAAAAGATTAGCAGTTTGAATCCACAAGCCCGCTGCGCAAGAGAAGTGGCAATCAGCTTCTGTAAATATTACAACCTTGGAAATCCTATGAGGCAGTTCTATTCTGTCCTGTAAGGTTGCTATGAGACAGAAGTGACTTGATGGCAATGGGTTTGGGTTTTATTTTTATTTTTTGTGCTTTCCTATATTTTTGCTATCTTCTGGGTGGAATATGCATTACCTAGATAATTAGAAAAAGCAGTAAAATTAAAAATAAATTTCATTTTGAGGTATGTGAGCAAAACCAGGTCAAGAATGAAGCTTACCCAGAAGAACTCTGTGCTTTGGGCTACTTTCATTACCTTGAGTTTTCACATAAAACCTTAAGCTTTCTAGGTGGAGAGAAAAATCATGGGGAGAGTGGCTGATGAGAAAGACATGAAGTAGGTGGCGGTGAAAATGTAAGCACAGTAGTATATTGAAATGAGAAGAGGTTGTGACATAGGCCATACTTGGGTGTTGGCTTAGTTATCTCATGTTGATAAAACAGAAATACCACAAGTTGATGGTGTTAACAAACAAATGTTTATTCTCTCACAGTCTCCTAGGCTAGAAGTCCAAAGTAAGGGTGCCAGCTCTAGGGGGAGGCTTTCTCTCTCTGTCAGCTCTGGAGGAAGGTCCTTGTCATCAATCTTCCTCTGGACTAGGAGCTTCTCTGCACAGGGACCCTGGGTCCAAAGGGCACGCTCTGCTCCTGGCGTTGCTTTCCTGGTGGTATGAGGTCCCCAACTCTCTGCTTGCTTCTCTCTCCTTTTATCTCTTGTAAGATAAAAGGTGATGCAGACCACACCCCAGGGAAATTCCCTTTACATTGTATCATGGATGTGACCTGAGTAAGGGTGATACATCCCACCCTAATCCTCCCTAACATAATCTAATCTTGCCTCGTTAACCACAGGTGGATATTAGGATTTACAACACATGGGAAAATTACATCAATCACAAAATGGAGGACAATGATGCAATCCTGAGAATCATGGCCTAACCAGCTTGACACATATTTTTGGGGGACACAATTCAAGCCATGACAGGTGTGCAGGTTGTAACACAAGCAAAACTGTCTTCTGACTCAGCGCTCATCACAGGTGTTAAAGGTCCAAAGAAAGCGTGGCACAGGACAGGGGACAGATGAGAACGCAGTGGGAAGCCTTACGTCACAGAAGCAAGGGAAGCCCTTGTACTCTTTGTCCACTCTATCCAGTGATTGAAGTGGAAGGTAAGAGAGAACAGTCTTTTTGATTTTAAGCTTATGCGTAACTTGACTTTATTATGCAGCTAGTTACTTCTTTATTTCTGAGTTTCCTGTTTTGATAAGGTGTTGGATGCAAAGTGAGAGTGTTAAATGTGGCATTTTCCTTAATGATTTGTTTCCCCTTAAGCCAATGGTGTTAATTTTCTGTGTTAATGGAGAGGAGAAAGCCCATGACTAAGTGAAATGTACAGACATCTATGTCCCTAAAACCTTTGCAGAGTTTTTACTCCCCTCTCTGCCTTCCCTAATATTTTACTGCACTGCTTAAAACCCTCCAGTGGCCTTCCGCCAGTTTCAGAACATCTTTGCTTTTTAACAGACCTGCTTTTTATTGTAGTGTCATCATGCCTGACTACATACATTCTCTAACCATTAAGTGAACACATATGGCATAGGATTTCGTCTCTGGGCATTTCTGTTGTTGTTAGTTGCCATTGAGTAGGCTCCAGCTCTTAGTGACCCCATGTACAGCAGAGCAAAACGTTGCCCAGTCCTGCACTATCTTCACAATCGTTGGTGTACTTGAGTCCATAGTTGTGGCCACTGTGTATCTTGAGTGCCATACAACCTAGAGGGCTCATGTTCCAGTACTCTATGGGCAATATTCTGTTGTGATCCATTGACTAATTTTTGGAAGCAGATCGCAGGACCTTTCTTCCTAGTCTGTCTTAGCCTGGAAGCTTCACTGAAAACCTGTCCACCATGGGTGATTCTGCTGGTATTTGAAATACTGGTGGCATAGCTTCCAGCGTCACAGCAACATGCAAGCCATCATAGTTTGACAAACTGACAGACGAGTGGTGGAGCATTTATAGTCTTGTTAATATTATCATATGCTTGCTATGTGTCAGACACTATGCTAAATGTATTATCTGCCTCCTCATAACAATCCTATCTTATAGGCTTGACTATTGTCTCCATTTTATAAATAAGAAAATTGAGGCTCAAAGAAATTAAATAATTTGCCTAGGGTCACATAGCTAGTAAGTGACAGAGCCAGAATATGAACCTAGGTTTGACTCCAAAGCCTCAACTGTTAACTTTTGCTTATTTTAAAATTTAATTTTTTTTACCAGAGTAACAGACATACATAGTTTTAAAAGCCAAATACTACTAATAGACTTTAATGAAAAGTGTAGCTCTCTTTCATACCCAGTCTCACCCCCATCACTCCCAATACCATTCCCTAGTGCCTAATACTGAGGCCAAGTGTGAAGTGCCATTCTTCACTGTACTTATATGATCTTTCTTATAATAATGGAAAAATGAAGCCCTTTCCTGAGACTATATCACTATCAAAAGTGAAAAATAAAAGATGAAGAGGATGCATGTTTCAAGAAAAATGGAAGAGAGCATATTTAAAAACGTATATTTTTTGAAACAGTTTCAAACTCAGAGAAGTTGCAAGAACAGTACACAAAACTCCTGTATATCCTTCATCTAGAGATTCCATTAAAGTTTCACTAACTGTTCTGGTGATGCAAATGATTAAGAGCGCGACTACTAGCCAAAAGATTGGCAGTTTGAACCCACCTGGAGGTGCCTTGAAAGACAGCCCTGGTGATCTGCTTCTGAAAGGTCACAGCCTTGAAAACCCTACTGAGCAGTTCTACTCCGCACACATGGGATTGCCATGAGTCGGAATGGACAACAGTAGCAACATACTTTGAGACTGTGTAAATATCTCTTTCCTCATCAGCCTTTCACCCACTAGAATTTTAGCATCCATTGATGTTTCTTGCCTGAATTAATCATTATTATGGTTGCCAAATGATTTTCTAATGCCATCAGTCCTACATTTCTTATTTGTAATTCTACTATAAACAGGAGCGTTCTCTTCTCCTCATTTATTTATTCGTTTATTTCTGTCAGTATGGATTCATGGGTGCCTATTTAATTCAATGGGTTACTATCATTATTTATTTTAATGCTCAAATTTTCGCAGATTTGGCCAACAGGAGCCCCTTCAAGTTGGCTCCAGTGTCCTTTTGACATTTTCCCATCATTGTTTGAGCACTCCCTTACTTTATGGCACAAAAAGCTCTTCCAAGCTCATTCTTTCTCTGGAATTAGCCATTCAAAGAGTACATATTTATTTGTAGAAACAAGACTATTCCTGAATAGTTTGTTTTATGTCATCAGAAAAGACCAATAGCTAGAAAAAACAAGGGAAACCCTCAGTGAGATGGACTGACACAATAGCCACAACAATGGGCTCAAACGTACCAGCAATCATGAAGCTGGTGCAGGACTGGGCAATGTTGGATTTCCTCGTTTCAGAGACTCAAGGGCCTGCCTGCATGGGAGCTCTGTCTAGAGAGGAAACAGTTTTTACATATTTCTCTTTAATGGTAACAGAAGTGAAACTGTTGTTGTGAAAAGACGGGCCTTCAACTACACCATATGGCACTGAGAGGTGTTCATCACTACAGCTTCTAATGGCTGAACTCAAAATAGCCCATATTTCCGCACTGATGGAGAATTCACCACTGACTGCCAAGAAACATCAGTTGTAGCAGCTCTTCAGCCATGTAATTTAAAATAATTACTTATTAAATGAAAATAAAATAGAGACCATAATACCAATAATAATCACTGTAGCATTGGTCATTACCCAAGTTGCTGTTTGTTGGAGCGTGACCTAGGGGGAGATCACTTGCAAAGAGGAGGAAGAACAGCGAGGGAGCCGAGGGCTTTATCATTACTGCTGAGGTAAGGAATCGGAATGCTCCGGGGTGCTTGGCAACCGGCAGACCTAATTTTATATTCCATCTATATTGCCGATCTCATGTTGTTTCAAGAAGTTTGTTCAACAGTACCTAAGGCAGAATGCCACTGGAAACCAAGGAGCTGGAACAGCTGTGTGGTACTTGTCAATGGATTTATATCATTGCAGGAAACAACTCAAGCAGTTATGTGGTCTTTGACAAGCATCACTCTTATCCCCATCTCAGGAGAAGTGAGGCCCTTTTCCAAGAGGGCCTTAGAGGGTATATGTCCAACGTCAAGTGGGTATGAGAGGGTATATGGACTAGTGTACATGGAGCAGGCTTCAGGCAACTGTACAGAGAGGGCTGTTTGGGTATTTTGGAAAAGCAAAAGTGGAGTCTGTCTGGGTGAAAGGCAGGGTTTCTGTTTCTCTTTTGGGTAACCTAAAAGAATGTGCATTCCTTTATTTTTTCAGTCATCCAACAAATATTGATTGAGTACCTACTGTGGGCCAGATACTGTACTAAACCAGTTGTCATAGAGTCAACTCTGACTCATGGCGACCCCATGTGTGTCAGAATAGAGCTATGCTCCTTAGGATTATCAATGGCTGATTTTTTGGAAGTAGATTGCTAGGCCTGTCTTCTGAGGTGCCTCTGGGTGGAGTGGAACTTCCGAACTTTTGATTAGCAGCTGAATGTGTTAGCCATTTGAACCACCCAGGGACTCCAGATACTGTACTAGGTGCTAGGAATATTGATCAAGACATACACGGTTCTTGATTTCATGGATCTGACAGTCTACTGGGTAGGGACAAACACAGAACTATGAAAAGTGCCATGGAGGAAAGGATGAGAATGCTTGTGAGGACAGCAGAGGCGATCTTTCTGCAATCTGGCATTAGTGTAAGGCTCTTTGAGGAAGTGATATTTATGCTGAGAACTGAACTGAAGTAAAAGGAGGGTTTGGCGAGGCAAAGGTGAGGAGAAAATATTCCAGGCAAAGGTAGTGCCATGGGCAAAGACCCTGAATGAAGTTGGAGCCTAGTAAGTTGGACAAACTAAAAGAAGTACAGAGTGAGGGAGAATGGGCACAAGGTAAAGTTGGAAAGGTAGGCTGGACTCAGAGACAGGTAAGCCTTGGAAAAGAGTCAGGATTTCATTCTAAGTGCAATGGGAAGCTTCCAAGCAGGGTTGTGACAGGACGTGGTTCATGTTGTAAAAGCTCAGTCTGGTTGCCAGTGGAGGACAACCTGCAGGGCGAGGCCTGAGTGGACAGATGCAAGGAGATCAAGTAGGAGGCCAGCTCAGAATTTCAGGCAAGAGATGACAATCACTTGGACTAGGGAGATGGCAGGGGAGATGACAGGAAGTAGAACTATTGGACATTCCTTTAGGCAGTAGAATTGACTGGGGGTGGTCATGAGTGGGGTTGTATCAAGGCTGGTTACCAGGTCTCTAGGAGTCCCTGGGTGGAGCAAATGGTTGAGTGCTCAACTGCTAGCCAAAAGGTTGAGAGTTTGAACCCATCCAGCAGTGCCTTGGAAGACAGGCCTGGCAATCTGCTTCTGAAAGGTCACAGCCTTGAAAACCCTATAGAGCAGTTCTCGTTTGCACACATGGGGTGTCTTAGTCATCTAGTGCTGCTATAACAGAAATACCACAAGTGGACGGCTTTAACAAAGCAAAATTTATTTCTTCACAATGAAGTAGGCTAAAAGTCCAAATTCAGGGTGTCAGCTCCAGGGGAAGGCTTTCTCTCTCTCGGCCTTCTCATCAGTGTTCCCCCAGACTAGGAGCTTCTCAGCGCAGGGAACCCGGTCCAAAGGATGCGTTCTGCTCCGGGCACTGCTTTCTTGATGGTATGAGGTCCCCCTGTCTCACTGCTCACTTCTGTCTTCTATATCTCAAGCGATTGCCTCAGGACACAATCCAGTCTTGTAGATCAGGTCCTGCCTTACTAACACAACTGCCACCCATCCTCCCTCATTAACATCATACAGGCAGGTTTACAACATACAGGGAAATCACACAGTACCAGGAATCATGGCCTAGCCAAACTGATACACACATTTTTTGGGGGGACATAATTCAAACCATGACATGGGGTTGCTGTGAGTCATAATCAACTCTAAGGCAACTAACAACAACAACAACGCAGGTCTCTGGCCTGAGCAACCGGGTGAATGGATGTGCTGTATGATGAGGTGGAAAAGATCAGATGACAATATCTGGAGATTCAGACATTCAGAATTTTAGATGTTCAATTTGAGATGACTGAGAGACAGTCATGTGGAACTGTCAAGGAAATGGTTGGATAGAGAGCTGGAATTTCAGAAGATAGGTCTTCTGGCCCAGTGGCGTCACTAGGGTTGGTGTCACCTAGTGCAGTAACTGAAGGTGTCACCGCCACCCTCACCATGGACCTCCTCCTGTACCAGACCATACAGAATCCCTAGTAATGTTTTTTGTACCAATGTTTTTGACTTTTCTGTTTGTTTTCTTTAATTACTACTTCATTATCAAAAACGTTATCGATAGAGGTTTCACAAATACTAATTACCACAATATTGTAGCTAAAACACCAGAAAATTTGACAAAATCAGCAACTATAAAAACACTGGCAGCAATGAAAACAATAGCTTATCGAGTGTGCGGACGAACCCATGTGATTTGAAGCATCATTGTAATTGGGTAGTAATGACAGCTCTGACCGGAGCACATTAGAAGGTTCAAAAAGTAAATTAGCATAGAGTTTTAGCCTTGTAGGTGTGTTAATACATGTAAGCTGGGCTTACGAAAAATGGTTTTGTTGTTACAATTAACTACAGGGATATTTTTATAAAAATAATAAATTTCTGCTGAAACATTGCACAATAATTTTACAGACAGTCATTTTGGTGTTACTTCCTTTGACAGTGTCACCTGGTACAGTCCATACCCCCGTGCCTCTTTAGTGATGCCATTGTTCTCACCCACAAATCGGTTTGAATCCTGCTGATCAAGATGTGCAGAGGATCCTTGTAAATGACCCTTATCATGTGGACCTTCCAGGTTTGTTCTTAAGGCTTCCAGTTCCTGCCAGCTTGCCCACTGTTTCAGGATGTGAACATTTTGGCATTTGGGTTTACTTTTGGTGAACAAATGGCATTTGACACCTAGTTGTCCCCTTTGTAATCCATGCTGCAGCTTCAGTGGAAATTAACCAATAATAACTAAATATGAGCTGCAAATAAAAGAGATGGAAAGCTTCAGAAAGAGAAAGCTTATTGTGATTTTCTTGGAAGGTAAATTTAGCTGGTCAAATATGTTTGATGATCTTTCAGAGTGAATGAGGGCAGTTTTTGTTTGTTTTTCCTTTTTTTTTTTACAACCAACAAAATGCAATGTTAAAGTGCTTTTAAATTTCTCCCTGAGCTCCCTTTCATTCTTTGATTTCTTTACTCCTAGTGGGATAATATAAACCAGTTTTCTGTTGTCTATTATTCATCAAAGCTGTCGATTTACCCTGAACAGAACTAAGGCAAGGATGTTATTAAAATAAAACAACTTCCAATTGAGCTGCTAATAAGTGCTGAAATGCATCCACATTTCTCATATTGATTATCTCCTGCTGACAAAGGCAAACACAAGCTTGTATGGCATGCTGCCTGTGGAAATGAAAGATTTAATTAGATGAAAACTGAATGAGCTGGAAGATCTGCTGCGTTCGGCCATCAAGTGATTGTTATTCATACTTGGCTGTTTGAAATGTCCCTGCTTCTTGAGCCTTTTTCATTTAAAAAATTCCTTACAGTGTACAAAGAGGAACACAGTCCTTAGTAAATTTCCCTGGGCATTTACAAGCTCAAGGTTGCAGGTTAGAATGAGCCCTGTCAGGTCATAAATCAGATGTAATAGAACATCCTGAAGTTGAGAATAAGCAAGCAAGAAGGGAGAAGCAGTTCCCTCTCCATCTCAGGCCCATCTCCAACTGCTTCAGGTGGGAAAAGAGGTGCTGGTGGGGAAAAGGTAAGAAGAGAGCCGTAAACTCAGAGAGTGGAATTCTTTACAACTCACTGGCTCTGTAAGTGTGTGCATGTAAAGTTTAATGTCTGGTAAGTGCACTGATATTTAGCAATGGGGCTGTATTAAAAAGTTGCTATTTCACTTGCCAGGAGTGTTTCAAGCACCTACCAGGTGCCCTACTTTTCTAGAGGCAGTAGGCAAAAGATGGGCAGGAATGGTTACAGGAATCCATCGCTAGTGACCTGGCTAAGTAAATTGGTGGTGCATTTTTCTTCCCAGGAGAAATAATTCTGTGTCATAGAGATCACCGCCTTCATCGATACATCAGCACCCTGTAAGGTAAGAATGAAGAAGATAACCTCTCCAGGGTCAGTTTTGTAAATCTGTAATATGTGTACGATAACCAATGACCGCACAAGAGGAGTTTTGAGGATTGAATGAGATTATGTATGTGAAATGACCTTATAAACAGAAGATCTGTGTACATATAAGTTGTTGTTATAAAGACATCTTGACTGATGTAATGGATATCTGTGTTATTTTTGGTCAGCCAGCAGGATTTCCCCTTTTAACAGGTAGCCATACTCTGGCTTCCTTATGGGCAATAACGGTCTTCCAGATATTTTGGATGCAGTCCCACTCCTGATGCATAACTACAAGGCCAAGTTTATAGGGGCTGAGATGGTTATGCTGCATCCTGCTCCCCACTTCACCTTGTCCCCAGCTGGCTCTAGGAATATGTGAGAAAGAAATTTGCTCCATAGATAGTCAATTCTCATTATTTGCAGTAGTTACGTTCTGTATAGTCTCCATGAACACTGAAATTAGTGAATACTGAACCATTGCTCCTAGGGGAAATATAAGGTTAGGTTCCTGCGATCCTCTGGTTGTAAGATTTCTGTCAACTAATCAATACATAACCATGTTTTATGTGTGTTTCTGCTTAAAGACACCTTATTTAATATATATTGTTGTTTCATTCACATTGAACTGACAGCCAACAGCGCTGTAACTCATGCCTGAACGAAGCTTATCTAATCGATGTATTTTCTGCATAAGGCACATCACAGCCTTCTTGTGCTTAGGTCCACCAGGCAGAACTTCAGTGTCACACCTGGTGCCATTCTAAACAGCAAAATCACCAACAAAAAGCACAAAAATGCAACAAATGTGGTAGGAAATAGACCACAAAAAGGGTAGTTATTTACAATATTAGAGCTGAAACGAGAAGGCAGAGGGTTGCCTTGTTTGACCTCAAATGGGCATGTGCTCATCAGGTAACTCAAATTTTTCACCACATGTCTGCGAATGGTTGCCCAATGCCACAAGTATTGATTTGGGAGTTACAAATAAATTTTAGCAAGTAGGCGAATTCACAAATACAGAATTGTGAGGAATGAGGATCAACTCTATTATATTATTTAATTCATACAACAATCGTATGAGGTAGGGAATATTACTATCCTCTTTTTTTGGGAAAACAGGCTCAGTGAGGTTAGGCAACTTCTCCAAGGTCATACAGGTAGCAAATGAAGGAGCTAAGATTCAAACAAAAATCTCTTTGATTCCAAAGTTAACCTTTATGCTGCACTCTCTTGAGAAGCCTAATACTGAATTAAGATGAAGCAGCCCATATGAAGGAGATAAGCATGATCTAAGGGAGGTGGGAGAGCCAGTGGAGGACAAGAAAACAGGCAATTACAATTACAATGGAATTCACTGCATGCTGTTAGTCCTCAGAATCTTTCTAAACACAGTGAGTTGGGCATTAAAGCAGAGCTGGCACATGAGATGAAACTCTTTTACCATCTCTAGCACAATGCTACATATTAGATAGGGATCCAGGGAACCTGGGTGGGCTCTTCCATGAAGGCTTTACTGAGCTCCTATTATGTTTAGGCCTTATTCTTCATGCGCTGAGTTTATGTGGCATAGAATCTCAGGCTAGGTATTTTTCCTTTAATATCTGGTCCCCTTTAGTCACCACCCTTGTATAAAAACACTATGGTGTGTTAGTTCTTATTTCTCAAGTGTAATTTGGAGTCAAGTGGAACAGATAAACAACGTCAATGAAAATATCTTTTCCAGGCACTGACAGGACTTATCCATCTAGAAACGAGGAGATAAAGGACGCATAAATGTTTAATTTTACTTTGCATGCTAATGTAACCACTGAACACACTTGGTCCCTGAGCAAATTAATTGTCACGAAATGAGAATAAATGATACACGGTCGGTACGGAGCTGCTGTCTGCTGGATCAGCCATCCCTCCGCATGGTGCTGTAGAAGAGACAGCTTCTGCAGCTGAGTCCTGCGAGTAGCTGTGCTGGATTAAGCATATTAGAAGCCTTTCTGGAAAACTCAGAAGTAGGTTCGTTTTTGGCATGTCTGTGGAGTAGCTGAAGTTTGTTCATTCCCTCTCCATTGTGGAGGAGCTCCACAGGATGTTGAAGCTCGCTTCCCCAAGCCCTGGCTGTGTGACTGTCTGAGCTTTGCTTCGCTCGTCTACCACATGGAGTTGTGGCTAATAATTGTACTTTTCTGTATGTGCAAAGTGGGACCATACATAACACAGCTGCCTCCCATAGTTGCTGAGAGATTAAAAGAGAAAATGTGCTTGAACTAACTGGTTGCTGTGAGTTGATTCATGGCCAACTCATGGCAACCCCATGTGTGTCAGAGTAGAACTGTGCTCCACAGGGTTTTCGATGACAGATATTTTTGGAAGTAGATCACCAGGGCTTTCTTCTGAGGTGCCTCTGTGTGGACTCAAACCACAACCTTTCAGTTGGCAGCCAAGTGCTTAACTGTTTGTACCACCCAGGGACTCCTGTTTGAAATTAGTAGCATCCAATAAATGTGATTCCTTTCCCTTTCTTCCACATTAACAAAGTAGCCACCGTTGGAGTGGTCTTTGTGTAGCTTTTTATGAATTTGTAATCATTTTGGCTCTAAATTGCTCTTAGCACTGTTCTTTATCTTTCCCCAGTCCCCTAATCTTTTTGTCATTCCCTACCCTCTCACCTTGCCTGTGCTCTTAGCCCTGTTCTTTATCTTTCCACCAGTCCCCTAATCTTTTTGTCATTCCCTACCCTCTCACCTTGCCTGTTTCTATCCTGTCATGGTGTCTGCAGCCCCACATAACACCACCTAGTTGGAAAATGGAATTATCCTGCTTAAAAAGCAGAGGAGGAATGCTGGGGAGGGGGGTGGGGGTGGTGTCAGGAAATGTGGAAGGCCCTTCCATTAACCTGTTATCTAGAATTGGAAAATGAAATTTTCATTTAAGTCAAGTGAAAGACATTAGAGCTTGATGTTCCTTCTTAGTTCCAGAAGCACAGTGCTGATAAGAAACAAATTAGAAATGCAAGTTTTTCCCAAGCGGTGTAAAGATGTGTGTTGGTGGAGCTGGTCTTTCCCTGTGGGTCAGTTAGTCTCTCTCTGAAGCTTAAATGCAGATGGAAAAGATCACTGCTTCAGATGAGGCTGTCAAAGTGAGTATCAGAATTTGGGAAAGGTGTTTGAAGTCCTGTTTATTTGAGCCAGGCATAAACACACTTGGCAAGATGTCAGGTCTCTGTGCGGGTGTGGTGGAGAGGAGCAAATCCCTCTGCAGTGAATTTCAAAAGTAGGTCAGCTGGCCAGTGATTGGTTACTTTGGACGAACAGACTCAAAGAGCAGGAGGAGCCTTTAGAAACCAGGGCTTCCAACTGTTTCATTCTGGTTTGACCTCCTGATAAGAATCACCTGGGATCTTATTAAAATGTAGATTCTGTTTCAGTACATCTGAGGTGGAAATGCAAAGTCTCAGCAAGGGGTTGAATGGTAATGAACCGGTTGGAAGCCCTGTTAGAAACCTACCATAACCATTTGTCTTGGTCATCTAGTGCTGCTATAACAGAGATACCACAAGTGGATGGCTTTAACAAGGAGAAGTTTCTTCTCTCACAATCCAGTAGGCTAGAAGGAAGTGCGAATTCAGGGCACCAGCTCCCGGGGAAAGCTTGCTTTCTTTCTCGGCTCTGGAGGAAGGTCCTTGTCATCAATCTTCCCCTGGTCTGGGAATGTCTCAGTGGAGGAAACTCGGGTCCAAAGCAGTGTGCTCTGCTCCCGGCACTGCTTTCTTGGTGGTATGAGGTCCCCATGTCTCTCTGCCTGCTTCGCTCTTTTATCTCAGCAGAGACTGGCTTAAGACACTATCTAATCTTGTAGGCCTCATCAGTATAACTGCTGCTAATCCATCTTATTACATCATAGTGACAGAGTTTACAACACATGAGGAAATCACATCAAATTATAAAATGGTACACAATCATACAATACTGGGAATCATGACCTAGCCAAGTTGACAGATATTTTTGGGAGACACAACTCAATCCATGTGTAAACACCATTGTTTTTATAGATAACGATACTGAGGCCCAGTACTGCGGGGTGGTTACTTGCCCAAAGTCACGCAACTAAGGTCTAGTGCAATGCATGGAAAAACATGAGTGGGTTTTAGGGTCAGACAGAACTGGGTTCAAATCCTGAGTCTAACACTATATTTCTTTTGGAAAAATTTCTTTTTTTTTTAATTATACTTTAGATGAAAGTTTACAGAACAAACTAGCTTCTCATCAAACAATTAGTACACGTATTGTTTTGTGACATTGGTTACCAAGCCCATGACATGTCAATACTCTCCCCTTCTTGGTCTTGGGTTCCTAACACTATATTTTTTAAGTAAGTTACTTAATTTTCTAAAGCTTCAGTTTCTTCACCTGTAAGATAGGGCTAATAATGGTCCCCACTTCATAGGGTTAGTATGAGGACTGACAAGAAAATTCATGTAAATTAGTTAGCACAATGCTTAGCAATTAGTAAGGGTTCAGTAAATATTGGTATTTTGTGTTTGTTGATGATGATATAATTTTGAGGGGGTTCAAGGAATTGACAATAGGAAAAATCTTTCTATTATTAACATGAAAAACTGGAAACAGAAAATGACCATCAACAAGATGATGACTCAATAAACTGATACCGTCACACTGTGGAGTATTACGCAGCCATTAGAAACAATGAATTCAGGCTCTACTAGATGACTTGGAAATATTTCCATGAACTGATGTTGGATGAAGAAGGCAAGGTGCAGGAAACTATAATATGGTCCTATTAAAAAAAAAAGAAAGAAACACTAAAAAAAACTGTATATATAAATGTGAATACAAATATACGCATATATGCCTGCGTAGGATTGAATGAGTATAGGTAAAAATACGGAAGATGTTCAGACAAAAACTTGTACACGAATGTTCATAGCAGCATTATTTATAATAGTCTGAAAGTTGAAATGACCCTAGTGTCCATCAATGAATAGATAAACAAAAGGTGATATAGCCACACAATGGGATGTTACTCAGCCGTAAGAAGGAATGAAGTACGATACATGCTTCAATGTGAATGAATCTCAGAAACATACTAAGCGAAAGAAGCCAGACAAAAAAGGCCATGTATTGTATGATTCCATTTATATGAAATGTCCAGAATATATAAATCCATAGAGATGGA